CGAGGTTCACAATTCGGTGGATCAGAAATCAATTTTGTGTGATCGTGACAAATGACTCTGGGGGGGGGCCTGGCCTGGCCTGGCCTGGCCTGGCCTGCTGTTTGAGGGACATCACAAATGAATCAATCAAGCCTTTATCAGGGCAAATAGAAACCCCTGTGCATGCTCTGAATGTGTGTGCCTGTGCATATGCATGTCTGTTGTGTGGAGATATATGGGTGGGGGAACTAGGATGCTGATGCGATGTTAACCATATTGCTGCTGGGACAGATGGAAGATGGAGAGGGCGGCAGGGGGGGAGGCTCTAGTGCATGCAGCGTTGGCTCAGTGCCTGCCGTACAGGACCCCGTTTGGCCTCCACGGCTGATTAGAGGTTAATGGTTTAAGAGTGTGTGGGGACTCTGCCGTGATTGGCCAAAAGGCTCTCGAGTGGGCGTGTCCTAGGGGTGGCAGATGGCGTGGATAGAGTGAGGCTATAAGTAAATGAATGAAAAAGGAGTACTCCTCTCCTGTTCCCTGATCAGTGGCCATCGCAGCGGTGTGAGCTCCCCCTATACGCCTCCCTCCCCAACAGATGGCCATTGGAGCTCAGTGGCTAAAATGACTCCGAACGCTCAGGTTGGATGAGCGTGCATTAGCGGGCATTGCCAGCGGATTAATTATGACTGTTACACATAAACAGAGAATCGTAACGTGGCCGGCTGACCCTGTTGTGTTGTGATGATGCTACGAAGCTTGGCGCCATGATTAGAGTCGGCCCAAGAGGGGTAGTTTCCTAAAAGAAAACCGTCTCCTGTCATATGGACGGTGACACTGAAGCCCACAATCCTTCTCCAGAGATGTGGTACTCGTGTACTTCACCCAAACTCTGTTTGATTGTCTAAATGTGTAAGAACATCCATTTGAAGTTACTTTTGAAGGTTTTTGTTTGTGTCTCATGCATGAGGAATGGATGCACATCTGTTTTTAGCACTTTTTCTGCAGTTGGAGTTTGGTTTGATGTTCTAGTTTCTTCTACTTTGTCACTCACCTAGTTTCCTTTGCTGCCATTTTAAAGTTGACATTACTAAGAGTTTGGCTATTGTTTGTCATTGTTCTATTTTAATGCTATTCTTTTATTGCTGTTTAAAATAAACTTTGGTGGTGATATGGCATAAAAAAAACTCTTAATTCTTAATAACGTAATAATTAAATAATTATTACTGTTTCAATTCTATAAGAATAATAAAATCCACACCATAACTATAACAATAACATCACAGAGGAATGTTGACAGCCAAGCAGAATCCACCTGGCATTAAAGATCTAGAGCATTTAAAGCAACAGACGACATAACTGCAGCACACACTTATAATAAACAGATTGTTACTGTGCATTGGTATGGACACAAATATAGTTATTATTGTTATAGTTAGTGTTCTTGGTGTGAACGGACCTTAACACTTGTGTACAGTTTAGCAGGCCTCTGAAAAATGACGAAATCATGTGTTGTGCCTGGTGCGGACACAACAGACACGCTCGAGAGTTTCTTTGTGTGGTCAGAATGACTGATATTAACTACAGCAGTTTCATTATTTCTTCTAGATGACGTTGCATGGCTCATTTTGACTGACAACAGCACTCCATCTACTTATGACATCCATCCTCATTCCGTTTCCCAGCACAGTTTTCTCTCTCTCTATCCGTCCCCCTTTCTCTAACCCAGGGAGAAAATGATCGAAAAGCCTCTAAAGGTGGGGGGAGGGTCTGATCTATGCTCACACCATGATGGAGGTTAGCCTGAAAAAAGCAGTTGTGGAGAAGGATGGTGGAGCAGCATTCAGTGCTGCATCTGAGCAACAAAAGGCCTGGTGGAAAGCGATATGAGAGAGAGAATAAAAAGACAAGGAGGGCTCTTCATGTCCATCAGTAGCAGATGCATGCTCTCTCCAATGCAACCCCTGTCACATGAGCCTATGGGCTCATCTGCTCTTTCATAACCCCACCGACGGATCACGTCATAGATGCCCGTCATGACCAATCCTAATACACGTCGCACAGAAATCCACCATCACTGATCAGCATATTTTGTAATCGCTGTGCTTACTAGGGCTATTGGTGTTGTTATTATTATTATTGGTACTATTACAATATTTAAACAAACCCCTAAACGTCAGCATTACATTTCAGTATAAAGTGTAATTATTTGTACTGTGGACATGAATGATATCTATTTTTTTTTTTTTTTTTTTACTTGGACCAGTAATACCCTAGCAAAAATTTTTTATATTACTATATATAATTATATATACAGTATATTGATATAAAATTGCTTTTTTTTATTACTAATTGATGTGATGTAAAAGGAGGGAATCCCAAAATGTTTTGGATTGTGGAAAACATTTGATTTGCACTTCAACACTTATTCTCTCTTACTCTTTATTATGAACATAAAAGCCCCAAGTCATCCCTCTGAAAAAGCAGATTCTGTATCTAATAAGGGTTGACACATAGGAGGAGTGGACTTGGACAGTGCAGAACAGCAGAATGACTCCTCTTAAAAGCAGCTGGGAAATGTACTTATTTCAGCCACCATTACCGTTAAACATTATCATTGTAGGGAGGCTCGCTCGGCTCCATTTGATACTGGGTGGGATGTGTCCTTCATGTGACTAATGCGACTCGGCGGTTTGAAAGATCAAGCAAAACTGATGGTGATAGCCAGTTCAAATTCAGGCCTGTTTAGTCTCAGTTGTAGTTTTTGCAGTCTGAGATAACGCATGATCTGATAATGCAAAGTTTCACATGAAGGCACCCTCATTATCTGGGGCATTTTTGAAATGTAAAACAATTCAGTCTTTGCATACGTTGTGGTAGGCAGGATGAGCCGTTGTTTGCCTTGCAAACATGTATTGGGCTTGACACATGTTTTCATAAAACCCTTCCATACATCATGTTTTGCAAACAGGATCAGCCTTATAGCACATTCGCAGTCAATGCCTCAGAGCTGTGCCAGCTCCGTTAAGTTGCGACACCATCAGTTGTGGCACAGTGAAAACGCACAGTTTGATCATTCTTGCTGTAGTCCTTAAAAGAAAAATTAACCTTATAAATGCACTTCCTTCTTATACACATCCTGTGGACATTTGTCTCTCTAACCAAATTCACTTTGAACTCCGCATTGTGCCAAAAGTAATTTGCAACACATAGGGGCACTCCCTCTCCTTTTCTGTCTTTTATCAAAATGAAAACAGACATCACCATAAACTCCCCTTAATCAGATGGCTCTGTTGTGTTGGCTGTGCCTGAAAGGGTTTGGCAGTAAATTGGACGTCGGATTTCTTTTCTCCAAAATCTCGGGGCTGAGGAGGGGGCCGACTTCTCAGAAGAACTCGTCTGGAAAAGCCTTTTGTGGGATTTGGCAAGGGAACAGCCGGCTTTGCTCATGCTTATTAGGCACCCCTGTCGCACCAGCCGAACCCTAGAATTAATTGTGATGTGTGCGGTTGTCTGATTCCCTGCACATGTGTGTATATATGTGGGCGCATGTAAAGACACCTAGCTCTGGTGTGGTTTGTTCTGGTCACGGAGGCTTTATTTGTCAGCTGGACACATTACTGGGCATATGGTGTGGTAACGAATGAGACTTGCCCTGCCTGTTCCTGTCGACAGCCTGTTCCTTGAATCATTTCAGCTGTTGACTCTGCAAGGATATATGGGATCCTGATTCTGTTACTTGTAAGCTTATATAGTGATTTGAGATTCAAATGATCTCTGAGCCCATGTAGTTTCCTGTGCATTGTGATGAACAGCTCTATTGCAATGGTTTAGAATGATACAGTAATTCTAGTCCCCCAACCCCCTTCCTTTGGCTTCCATCATTAATAATTTAAGAGTCAAAGTGAAGAATGAGCCCTCCTATTGGCCACAGAGACATGCGTACAGTCTTTCTTCCTTCATGCTTTTGGTTCTTTGGTTCTCTAGGATGTTGCAGAAACTGGAACCAAAGCAACATCTTTTCATGTTTGATATTAAAGGGGTCATATGATGTTGCTAAAAAGAACATTATTTTGTGTATTTGGTGTAATGAAATGTGTTTATGCGGTTTAAGGTTCAAAAAACACATTATTTTCCACATACTGTACATTATTGTTTCTCCTCTATGCCCCACCTTTCTGAAACGCGTCGATTTTTACAAAGCTCATCAGTCTGAAAAGCGAGATGTGCTCTGATTGGCCAGCTATCCAGTGCGTTGTGATTGGCCAAATACTTCAAGCGTGTGATGGAAATGTGAGGGAAATGTTACGCCCCTTACCATATTGTGATTCCTTGTCCCAGCCAGAGCGACTAGACAAAAACATTAAAACCCATTATAAACGAGGCATTTGTTGCATCCAGTGGGGACATAATTACGGATTATAATGATTTTTACTGTCTTTTTACGCATTGCATTAGAATATCTCTTTGGATTTGAGACTTTAGTCTTTTTGCAACTTTACAGATCTTCTTTATGCACCAAGAGCTTGTAACACTCCAAAGAGAAAGGAAAAATTGAAATCGCATCATATGACCCCTTTAATTTTAATCATCTAATGTCTCCAAAAAAGGCTTTAGACCAGTATCTTCAGATAGTTTGGGGATTTTGAGTAAAGTGATGGATTTTTTAAATGACATTTTAAGGGCCTTTCACAGCCAATTTCCTATAGGGCACTACTGTAGCATGATCTACTAGGATTTGGAGATAGCACTCAGCAATTGGATAGCATCTCACATATCTTGTGGTTTGGTAACCACTAGCTACCAAACTAGTCTCTTGTACAATCAAACATTCAGATGTGGATTTGGTAGCAGCCTAATTTGCCTTTAGCCATTCCTGGTAACCAATCTTGATCCATTTACGTTCACGCAGTTGAGAATGAGAATTGTTTACGACCAATGAAAGACATATAATCATTGCTGCTCAAATTACATCAAATGTCATTGTTAACTTAAACTTTTTCTCTCTGCCTCTTCCTGTGCAGGTTTTCACCTCAGTGGCACAGTCACAGAGCCGGCAACGCAATCCGAGCCAGAAACGACGCATAAGGTAGCCATCAGCTTCGACCGCTGTAAGATCACGTCAGTAACATGCGGCTGTGGCAACCGAGACATCTTCTATTGCGCACACGTGGTGGCGCTGTCCTTATACCGCATCCGCAAACCCGAGCAAGTCAAACTGCGGCTGCCCATCTCAGAGACACTCTTCCAGATGAACAGAGACCAGCTGCAAAAGCTGGTGCAGTACCTTATCACAGCCCACCACACAGAAGTGCTGCCCACCGCCCAAAAACTGGCAGATGAAATCCTGTCCTCCAACTCTGAGATCAACCAAGTACATGGTGAGCAGCGTAAATGAAGAGTCACATTACCAAAATGCCTTTTCAACAGTCAAATGTTCCATAGAGTTTAGAAAAAAGCAAGTTTACACCCCTTTGAAAGCTTTATTCAACACATTGTGCAAAAATAAATTCCACCTCTTCCTGATCGTTTATCCAAGGAGCCTCCAAAACCAGGAAGTCCATCCTCTTGCCCTTTGACCTTGTTTTAAATAGGAATGAAGGGGTCAGGCAGAAGCCCTTTATCAATGTTTAATCAGTGACTACACTTTGAATCCGGAATGTGCAGAATGTGTTAACCTGCCAAGATGTTGGTTCAAAAGTGCAAAAGGACACCTACGTCCTGCTTATACAAAGACACACAGCACCTTCTGTTTATAGCAGTTTGTGCCTCACTAGCCCATTGCAGCCATTATAAAGCCATTAAGTACACTAATAATTTACTATTATACTGAACAGGGTTACAGTCTACCGCAATCTAAAGCATTACAACAAGTGCTCTTATTTCAAAGCACTTTACATCCAGCACAGCTGGCTCCATAGATATCCTGTACATTGTAGATACGCTCATAGTATATAACACCAATGCTTATGTCACACTGATGTTAATCTACTGTATGGAAGTTATTGTTGCTCCCCTAAGTCCACCCAAGCCTTTTAAGAGCTAATCTCTAACTCAGGATGGATCTTCTTATCATATAACACATGCCAAGGGCAGGGAAACATGCAAGCGATGCAGAATCAACCATTCCGCTTCCATATATAGTGTTTATATACGTTTAATACCCACAGGGGCACCCAAAGGGGGCCAATAGGCAGATCAACTCCCTGTGCAGTCTGTATATAAAGCAGCTTCATGGTGACTTTAAGTGGAATTCAATAGGGCTGAATGTGCTGATGTGTTTTGTTCTGGAATGGGGGGTTGTAAACCTAAAGTGCATCGACATATTGGAAATACAGTAAGACCTTCCTCAGATAAAGTGATTGCTTCTAATGCATTTTGCTTGTCTTCCCTTTTTTTCTTTTGCAAATCACAGTGGCAATGGGAAGCAATCTTTTAAGAATCGAGCCTTGATAGCTATGATTTGACTCACCTCAGTGGTATTATAGGTTTGTAATGGTAAAAAAAATATACGGGTATTTTGCCAAAAGGAAGTGATTTTTTTTTATTTCGGCTGTGGTATAGAGTAAGCAGGCTTAGGAAATGCTGTTTTCAAGGTGTTAATGTGTACAAGCAGATTTTTCTGTCTATTGTTGAATTTAAAAAAAATTTTTTACCAACAAATGATACATGTTATTGCTGAAAGCATCCAAAGTTAACCGGGTGTATTTCTCTCCCAGGGGCCCCGGATCCCACAGCAGGGGCCAGTATTGATGATGAGAACTGCTGGCACCTGGATGAGGAGCAAGTGAGGGAACAGGTCAAGCAGTTCCTCTCTCAGGGAGGATACTATGGCTCAGGCAAGCAGCTCAACTCCATGTTTGCCAAGGTGAGATGCTCTCGCTTTGTGTGTGTGAGTGTGTGTGTGAAATGCTCAGTGCAAAATGTGCTATTATGGTGAATTATGGGCCCATGAAATCCTAGGAGGCCCATTTAAACCTGTATTTTAATTAAATGTCAAGCTGCCTCTTATTTTCAGTAGCCAGCGCAGTTCATTGCTTTACATGTCTGCCATCTGAAGATTTGAAGAACTGCACTACAGCCTTTGACATTGATGCTGAATATAGTGCTCAAACATACACAAGCATTCTGATCTCACCGTCCTTTCAGCTAAAACACTTGTGCTGTTTTCACTGTATAAGATGCTTTATATACTAATTACTTGCTTTGTTCTTCAAAATATGATGCAGATTTTTGTTAGATACAGGTTTGTGGTAGTCCTGTACATGATGTATGAGGTTAAACCAGGATTTTTGTGCAGGTGAGGGAAATGCTGAGAATGCGCGACTCAAACGGGGCTCGGATGCTCACGCTCATCACGGAGCAGTTCATGGCTGACCCGCGCCTATCTCTATGGCGACAACAGGGCACGGGCATGACCGACAAATGCCGACAACTCTGGGATGAGCTGGGTGAGTTTTTTCTTCTCAACCTGTAGGGCACGTTTTTCAGTCATCATCCTCGTTTGTCCTGGAACATCATTCTTATCAACCAATCAGAGATTTTAGGGGTTAGTTAGAAGGTTTGGCCTATGGCTGTTTAATAGGATGTGGTTCCTTTATCAACAACACATGTTGATCCAGGAACGTGTCCTACTAGGCCAAATCACATTTTGAGCAGCATAGAACAATTAGCCCAATTTCATATTTGAACACTGACATACATCCTCATCTCTCTTCTGTACTTCTACAGAATTGAACCTTAATCATTAGTACTTACTCTTCTGCTCCTTGGTTCAATATCCTTAGCCTTGAGCACATTCGTGTATGTGCACCGTCTGACCTGCAGCAGTTCAGTCAGGGCAAGTGGATCAGAGCACGACTGACTTAGTCTGCGGCACATGCAGAGGACCGGCCGGCCGCCACTATCGGGATGGCATGAAAGGGCCAGGATCAATGAGCTTTAAAGCTGCCTCATATTGATCGGGCCATTTAAAGAGGTTGATGAGAGCACATCCTGAAGAGGCTCATTTGAGAGCTGCGTCTCTGGCTTCCTCTTCCTTCGAAACGGTTGTAGCTGTAAACAAGGCGCACCTGTCGGGTTGACCACGCATTCTGATTTTGCAAGAGCAGGCGCATCACTGTGACCGGAGCGTCTAATAAATGTGCAAGACAGTTCAGTGTTTTAGTTGACAGCTTTGCTGATCGGCCGAAGCTCAGCAATTTGGCCAATCAGGGCTGCATGTACATGACAGCAATGGAAAAAGACGCAGGCCAGCCATCTGTTACCTAGATACAAAAAGGCATCGCCAGTTACACGAGCCCACCAGACAACCTTACACCTGTCAAATTTCATATGCTCCCCAGTGCCAGTGTTTGACATTGATGTGCTAGAGCCGGATCTATTAAATGCGCTGATTTTCCACTTCACATTTCGGAACAAATCAAAAGCTGCGTTCAAGACTAAACCAGTTAAAAGTGTTTAAAAATGGGAAAAGTGGCATCCTAAGATTCAATATCTCCTTTCTTTTCCCTTTTATGCTCATTTTACCTTTTTAGTTTCTCTCTCGCTCATTTATAAGCCACACTTCAGTTATAAAGACGTCTATGCACTGTGGGTTTGCAGGTGCGTTGTGGGTGTGTATCGTGCTGAACCCGCACTGTAAAAGTGAAGAGAAGAGCGGCTGGCTGAGACAGCTGAAGAAATGGGGAGACATGGACATCTGCCCTCTAGAGGACGGCAATTACGGCAGCGAGCTGCCCAACATCACCAACGCTCTGCCACAGAGCAACCTGGCTCAGGGTAAGCCTCCGTTCATTTGATCTAAACCTGAGATTATCCACTTATCCCTATGTCTGTTGCTTATATAACTATGCTTTACTCTGCGTAGACTCACTGGCCCGGCCTAGAAGAACGGTGTTCACGAGAGCAATGGAGGCCTGTGACCTGCATTGGCAGGATAGTCACTTGCAGAGAATCATCAGTAGTGACTTCTACATGTCCCCGGCTTACCAGAGAGAGGGAGAGAGCCTGCTCTTCAACCCCCAGGGCCTGCCACTGTGGCTGGGTGCGTATTTTATATACTTCTCAGCCATTTCAAGCTGTTTTTCCAAGTTGATTCTGTTCAGAGCAGCCAGTCAATACGGAAATCTCTACAGAGTTTTTCCTACATCATACTCTTGAACAATAAGAAGGCACGTTCACACCACTATAAAGTTTTAATAATCACTCTAATTCTATGAGAATAGGGAAGCCCACACCACAGCTATAACAATAATGATACAGAGATACGATATCATTGCAATCACTTTTTCAGCTGAAGAACAATCTTTGTTCTTGGTGTTAAAGAACCTTAAGTCTGAGAGGAATTTGTCGCTCTCAGTGAGACCCTTCTTGCTGTGTGACGTAATCTGTCTGATTTCACTTCTGCATGATCCTGCAGCTTCCATTACAATTTTGTCTGAAATTGAAACCGTCCCATCTGAAAGGAGTCCCACCTTATTTATAGTCATGTGACTTGTTCCAGATCACGTGCCTACAGCATGCGCCAGGGTGGATGCGCTGCGTTCCCATGGTTACCCCAGAGAAGCCTTGCGACTGGCTGTTGCCATAATCAACACCCTCCGGCTCCAACAGCAACGGCAATTAGACATATACAAGCATCAGAAGAAAGGTAAAACACATTGATCTGCTTTGCATAACATACGGCCTTACTCCAAGTGCTCATGACTGTACACATGAATTTATTGTTGTTAATCAGAAGCTAAAACTTTCCGAGAGTGACCATTTCAACGTATATATGTAGACATTAAAAGAAAATTGCAGGACTTTTAATTTTTCTCAGAGAAATTTTATGTATTGTAATTTTATGTATTGTAAACATAGTAATTTAAGTATTGACATGTTGATTCATATGTTCCTAATACAAGTAAACATCTTCTGTTCTGTCCTCAGAACTGCTGCAGAGGGGAATGACCAACACCACCAATCTGGAGGGCTGGGTGGGCCACCCCCTCAACCCCATTGGCTGCCTTTTCGCCACTCTCACGGAGACGTGTCGAGTGGAGGATGACAATACCATGGATACCGGAGGTACACTATTATAGGCTGTCATTGGGCTTCTGTCCTTTTACGACTCTCCGAGACGCCTTGAGCATTATTTGGTTCCTCGCTCAGCAACTGGCCTGTGTCTTTGAGAGCTTCATTCAGTCTGCTGGAGCCCCATCTCCTCGCTCTTTACAATTGCCCTCCTTTTCTGAGCAGTGTAAAGGGGTGCTATTGTATCAGAAAGGTCATTCTGCCCACTCAGTGGTATAAAACGTATAAAATCAATCAGCATTTGCATTCCATACATCCCTCCCAGCTCAGGCCAGTGGAAAGTGTCGGCCATTGTATTCCTGTAGTGAGGAACCCACAGAGAGGCATTGTGTGCCTGAATAATACTGGCAAATGGTACTGTGACTTGGAAGAGTTTGTGCATATCTGTGCGTTTGTCCCGTCGTAGCGCTCCCCTTTTGGCCACGGCGCTGTAGCGGTCGTGTTGGGTTGTGTGTGCGCCTGTTGTGCATTACACTGTATGTTTGTATGTGTGCTAGAGAGCATAGCTCTTTGTTTGACTCTGTTGCACAGTTGGAAACATCTGGCATGTGCTGGGATGGGGGCGGACTCTTGGTTTTATCCAATCAGAATGTCCGAAGGTCAGGATCTTAGCTTGGCAGAACCAGCAACAGCAGCTGTAGCGGCGGGAGCAGCAGTGTGGAAAGCCAAAACAGTGCTCTCTCTAACCCCTCTGCTTTACTTCTTAGGTGGTTTACTGTAAACCAAATCACTGGATAGAAGAGCATAACTTGGTTAAATTGTTTTGTGTGGGTTTTTTATGATGATTGTGAGATACCAGTAGAGATGTTGTTTTCCAGTGTAGCAAGATGGGGGTGAACCCATTGATCCCTGTCTGTTGCCCACTGTACAAACAGGATTGGCCAACAGGATAAATTTGCCAGGGGGATTTAAGTGAGCTGGTGATGAGGGTCTAAATTCTTACTAAACGGATGGTGTTTTTCCTCAGTTTTCATGCAGATATCCTTAGACATTGATAAAAAATAACTTGGTGCCTGTGGTGTTTTTAAATGTTATACCTACGTTTGGGGTCAGTAAGAGATTTTTTTTGTTTTTTGTTTTTTTGAAAGAATTACTTTTATTCAGCAAGGATGCATTAAATTGCTTAAAAAATGTAACAGCAAAGATTTTTAAATTGTAACCAAACTTTGAAATAAATAATGTTCTTTTGAACCCACTATTCATGAAAGAATCCTTAAAAAAAGTATCAAAAATATTAAGCAGCTCATTTTTCATCGCTGATAAGAAATGTTACTTGACCACAAAATCAGCATATTAGAATGATTTCTGAAGAATCATGTGACACTGAAAACTGAAAATTCAGCTTTGCCATCTCAGGAATAAATGACTTGCTTGCCTTATTTTTAGCATTGCATTTTTGGATTTGCTAAAATTTCTTTATTGCTTTTTCTTAAAAAAATAAATAAAATTTGCAACAAGCTGTAAATAGACATTGACAAACACCACTTTGTGTCCTAATAGATTCCGGTGAGCCCAAGCCTCCAGTGTACCAGCATGTACCAGTGTGGGGATGTCCAGATGGAGGAGAGTCGTACCTGGCACTGGCACTAGAGGTGGCGCTGATGGGTATGGGGCAGCAGCGACTAATGCCCGAGGGCCTGTATGCACAGGACAAGGTGTGCCGGAACGAGGAGCAAATTGTGGCCAAGCTGCAAGAGATGGAGCTGGATGACATATTAGTGCAAACACTCCGCAAACAAGCCATCCTACTTTTAGAAGGTACAAACTCTTTGTTCTCAATTTCACGTCTTCTTTTTAACCTTTTGCTCTTGTCATCACCCCATAGGCACTATCCTCCCTGTGTGGAGCTGTTTCCTCTCCTTACTGTTCTCTTGCTTTTCCCACAACCTTTTTCCCCCTTGTGGATCTCTGTCTACTTTTATCTTTTCCTCCTCCCGATCTCTAGCCTGGATATATATTTGTGTGTGTGAGAGAGGGAGTGCTATGCCTGTAAAAAGATCTGCAGCCTGGCCTCTGCAGTGTCCCCAACTCCCTTCCCCAAAACAGGCTACCCTGCATCTGAGCCTCCCACTGACACGCGGTGTAACCTTAGAGCAGACATCTGCGCTGCTACTAGGGAGGACAGACTCTGTCAAAGCCCATGAGGCCTTGCCGCCTGTTTGCCTTCTCATCGTCCTCCCCAGCCGCCCTAGCGATACGCTCCACTCAGATTTCTCTCTCTCACTTGCTGTGTGTGCCCTCACTGACTCACCAGCCTCCTGTCCATCAAGCCTGACTCAACCCTGCAATCTGATATGATGGACAGCTCAGTTCTGATGTGCTCTTCTCTGTCTCTCTCCGTATGTCCAGGTGGTCCCTTCAGTGGTCTTGGGGAGGTCATCCACAGAGAGAGTGTTCCCATGCACACATTTGCCAAGTACCTCTTCACCGCTCTCCTGCCACACGACACAGACCTGGCGTACAAACTGGGCCTTCGTGCAATGAGGTGAGGCTCTCTTTCTCTCCATCCAAAGTCCATGTGTATTAGCTTTGAGGTCTATATATGCTAAAATCCTAAATGTTTACAAAACTCACTTTTAGCACATTTTTCATAATGTTTCGTATGTAGGAAAACCAAAACTAATGTTGACTCATCCTGCACTGTACTGATGTCCAATCAAATGCTCTTTAGGATGAGAATGTCCCTTCCCATAAAACACCTGCTACTTACTAGCAAGTAACAAATGTAATTTCTGGCTGTGACCTAAATAAATTCTGTAGTTTATCATTTTTTTCCTTTTAAAAAATGGATGGGTGCTTTGTAACGCTTTGTAATTATATGATTTTAAAGTATCTTATGCTCACCAAGGCTGTATTTGTTTGATCAAAAATATAGTTAAACTTTTCTATTTTAATATGTTTTAAAATGTAATTTATTCCTTTGACGTTAAAGCTGAATTACTCCATTTCTCCAGTATTCAGTGTCACATGATCCTTCAGAAATCATTCTAATAATAATGCTGATTTGCTGCTCTTATTATTATCATCATTGTTGAAAAATATCAGGCTTGAGCAATTTAGTGAACCCTTGCTGAATAAAAGTTAATTTCTTAACTAAAAAAAAAAAAAAAAAACACTTACTGACCTAAACAGTATTACTTTGAACATCAAAACTGGAAAGAAAACATGGATTTATAAATCACACCATCATGCAGCAACTTCCAGAAGAGTGTTGGATATTCTTTTCTTTGTCATGTTTTTCATGTTCATTTAAAATGTGTGCATTGTTTTCACCATTAGTTATTGATCACATTTTTTCACATTACACTGAATCTCCATGTGATGTGTTACCCTCACTGACTCCAGCCTTATAAAGCCTCCATGGGACCTTATTACTGTATATCTGCACTGAGGCATCATTATCCGAGTCTAGCTCATCACAGTCCTCACTAATACACAATCAATAGGACTGCTCCCTCTGTGCAGCTTCTGTGAGTCTGAGCTAGTGTGGTCTAATATGTTCACTCGGGCAGGAGTAGCAGAGCGCATTTCTAATCACATGCCATCAGACAGCTAGCAGAAAGCAGAGTAAGTGTGTGGAAGTAGCACACAGTATTCTGCTAATCATGTCTGAGGAAGCTGAGTAAAAAGCTGTAGAAAACAGAAGCAACAGAATATGAATGAAAAAAGATTTAAGCTTATATATATTTGTCTTGTTTGTGTGACTAATCCAGAATAATCATGTTCGCTGCAGGCTTCCAGTACTGGAGTCCACGGCTCCCTCAGGTGACATAGGACACCCTCACCATGGCATCTCCATAGTGCCCAGCAGATATCCACGCTGGTTCACACTGGGCCACCTGGAGTCCCAGCAGTGTGAACTGGCCTCCACCATGCTTACTGCTGCTAAGGGTGAGTGCTACACACCTGATAGCTCACGACGAGTCACATGTGAGGTTCCCTTTAAACAAACTTTTATGTACTGTGCCAGTGTTTAGCTAAGAGAAATCTGTGTTGTGACTTAGGTGACATGTTGAGATTGCGGACTGTTTTGGAGGCTATTCAGAAGCACATCCACTCCTCTTCCCTCATCTTCAAACTGGCCCAGGATGCCTTTAAGATCGCTACGCCTGCAGATAACCCTCCTGACATCACACTGCTCAATGTAGCGCTGGAGCTCGGCCTTCAGGTAAATCTAAATGGATCTTTATGTGGTGTGTGGTTTATTTTTTTTATTTATCAATGAGTGTGTTCACATGCGTGATCTTACACCAACTCTGCATGTTGTGGTCACGTAAGGTCACCCTAAATTTTTATTTTATTGGACATTCAATGACTCAAGTAATATTGTGAAATATCATTACAATTTGAACCTTTTGAACCTTCTATTGTCTGGTTTTATATGATGGCCAGTGTTTTTGTGTACATGTAAATTCACTCGCTATGTGTATTTGTTCCAGTACACTATTTTGCATTTTTGTGTGTCTAATGCAATATAACATTTCTCTGCAGGTGATGAGGATGACTCTGTCCACACTCAACTGGAGGCGGCGGGAGATGGTTCGCTGGCTTGTCACATGTGCTACTGAAGTCGGTCTGTGTCAGACTGTTTTTTTTTTTTTAATGTTTTTTTTTCCCTACCAGGTTTAAATGAACACTCATTTCATTCTAGACAGTGGCATGCACTTTAATAGTTTTGTCTTTTTAAAATGTCAGGTAAACCCTGCAGTTGACTGAAATCCATTTTGTCAAACTTAAACTAACTGATCTAGATAAAGCGACTGTAGCTCAGCTTTGTCCAGCATGTATGCACATTATTCAGACTACAATCGACCTCTGCGCATGCTCCACCAGACTTAGGTAATGCCCAATGTGTATTTAATCCGTCAAATATTCGATTGTTTCTCTGAAATTGGAGATAAGTTGAATGGCTTGGGTAGTTTATCATGTGGTTACTAAATGCATGTAGAAGCACAGCAAAACTTGTTCTGATTGATTCGTTTGTCTCATTGCAGGTCTGAGAGCTTTGGTTAGCATATTGCAGAGCTGGTACACTCTCTTCACCCCCACCGAAGCGACCAGCATAGTGGCAGCCACAGTGATGTCCCACAACACCATCCTGCGCCTGAGCCTCGACTATCCGCAGCGGGAGGAGCTGGCCAGCTGCGCGCGCACCCTGGCCCTGCAGTGCGCTATGAAGGACCCTCAAAACTGCGCCCTGTCCGCCCTCACCCTCTGCGAGAAGGACCACATCGCCTTCGAGACCGCTTACCAGATAGTCATCGACGCCGCCTCCACGGGCATGACCTACTCTCAGCTCTTCACCATCGCACGCTACATGGAGCACCGCGGCTACCCCCTTCGAGCTTTCAAACTGGCGTCTCTCGCCATGACCCACTTGAACCTGGCCTACAACCAAGACACGCATCCGGCCATCAATGATGTGCTGTGGGCTTGTGCTCTCAGCCACTCGCTGGGCAAGAACGAGCTGGCCGCCATCATCCCTCTGGTGGTCAAGAGCGTTCACTGCGCCACGGTGCTCTCGGACATTTTGCGGCGCTGCACCATGACGGCCCCCGGCCTGGCCGGCATCCCTGGCAGACGTAACTCGGGCAAGCTTATGAGCACTGACAAAGCCCCGTTGAGACAGCTACTGGATGCCACCATCAGCGCCTACATCAACACCACCCACTCCCGCCTCACGCACATCAGCCCGCGCCACTACGGAGAGTTCATCGAGTTCCTTAGTAAGGCACGCGAGACCTTTCTTTTGGCCCAAGATGGCCACATTCAGTTCGCCCAGTTTATAGACAACCTCAAACAGATCTATAAGGGCAAGAAGAAACTCATGATGTTGGTACGGGAACGTTTTGGTTGAACCTCGCTTGATTGCAGGGGAACTTGTTCTTCTTTCATTCTTCATTTATTTAAGGCATTATTTTATTCTTCCTTTTTTTTTTTGGTCGTCTTTGGTGAATGTTTAAGTTTTATTCATTTGTTTTGATCTGTTTCGTCTTGTTTTGTTTTTTTATTGTGAACAATTCCTGTTCACCAAGTTATTCTACCAGGTCGAACCTGTGGAGGGGAGAACAACAACTGTAATTATGACCATTTATGTTTTTGTTTTGGCTCGTTCTTGATTTCGTTTGATCAAGATATTGTGATAAAAATGTAAAAGTGGCACATAAAGAGACACCAAATGATTATGTGGTAAATTTTGAGCGTGGGGGAGGCGTTTGGTTGGTTTTGAACACTCGAATCAAAACGGTCCTCGATCGTATTTTACGGATCAGCTTTAACTCTCTCTCTGGAAAAGGCCTGATTTTAAGAGTGAGACGGGCACATCACCTCAAATGCTCTGCCGAATGTCCTAACCACGACTCAAGCAAGCCACAAGACATGAGCCCTCCCCTCTCTCCTGGATTTGTTACTATCGGCTCATCTTAACCTCTGTTCGAAAATTTCAGTGCGAGGAAGACGATGGCCTGTGTGCTCAATCCTTCCGTGCTGTTTCCTGGTCTTGCTGAATATGAACAAAACAGAGATATTTACCCATCGATATCAGCCATATATGTTTCTCTGTTACCTCTCAGTGAAAAACAAAAACAGAAACAAAAAGACTTGTGTGAGATTGAGTAGCAGTAATAATATATATATGTACTAGCACTTCATTAAATTCCATCCCCTACACGACGCATTCGGATCAGCAATTACTTTCTGTGTACAAATTAGGTGAATTGTATAGATGCATTTGACAAAAACAGCTACATTGGCAGAACAAGGAATTAGCTGGCTTTAAACTGTATCGTAATATCTTCCACATTCCATGACCTCCGCCCTCCACAAGTGCCCCAGTGGATCCAAACACTTAGAATGCACTCCGCGGCTTCTATCTGAAGGAAAACAAGAAGAGAGATGCTAAACTCCGTTCTCAGGGAATCACTTAAAGAAACAAAACAGAAAAGAAAAAAAATAGTAGCATAAGCATTTAAGATATTGTAAATATGAAAGTGTCAATTCAAAAAATTGTAAAGTTATAATTATTTATGATAACTGTATGTTTTTCTTTTCGGATACTTGAATTTGTCGGGCTGGGAATGTGACGACCGTAAGAGGAAAGACTTCAGAAACATTTCTCAGGTGCTCCTGTGTACATTTCCGATTTGCTGTTTTATTTGTATCCTCTTTTATTAGATTTTTTTTGTAATACAATTTTGCAAGAGGAAGCATGTAAAGAAGAAGAAAGGAGAGGACAAATGTTTATGAACAGACTATGCAGAACCACTTCACGATTTGCTCTCTTCACGCCCGATCTTCCTCCGTCTTTTCTCCTTGTTTGGCTCGGGGGTTGGGGGCGCTCTCCCAAAATTCAACCGTTTGTATCTTGTAAGTAAAGTAATCTGCACGAGCTTCGAGTTTGGATGGACTTTGCCTTTGATCTACGTACAACTCTTTACTTTGAAGCCTTATAGTCTTCTCTGAAAGCGCTGCATGTGTTTCAGGACATTGTGTTGCCAATGTCAGAGGAGTACAGCACAGAGAATACGGACCTACACCTTCGACTGGCCCGAACAAGGAAGAAGGACATCTGCTGTTCGATTCTCCTTTGCTTTGACACGGTCCACATACTTTAGGGTCGTGATTATCTTGTATTGGGGCTTTTTGAGGGCAATAAGGTCTGTTTTGAGGTTGCGACTTACCATTGCCTAATCGAGACTTTGATAGATGCTTCATTAATGGCTAAATCTTGAGGAGATTTCTCTATGTTGTTGGTTAAGGTTGGTCACTTTCATTTAAATGGTTTGCTGGTTTCCACTTTTGGTTAGTCTTTTCTTTTTTTTTTTTCCCCTCAAAATTCATTCTAGTTGCATCAACTGTGGCATACTCGAACCACAAGGTGTTTATGCAGCCTTTATTCCTCAACCGGCTCTGTCGGGTAGCTCTCACGGACCTGAGAGAAAGCTCACAGATTAGACTTTTTTTTTTTCTTTTTTAATTAAGACATCTGCAGAATGATAATAGTGCTGCCTGTTCAATTAAAAAATAATTAAAAA